AACAGAGCCCAGCAGCCTTTTCTACACGTGGGTCTCTCACGCGAACCGCACTTCAGGGAGAAGCCTGCGCTGAACTGCTATCTGTACTGTGTTCCTGCCGTCTGAGTCAGCCCTTGTCAAGGAGTTCCTGGAACTGTGTTTCAACCATTAGGACTGAGCTCCCCCACCTACTGACCCCCGCCCCGTCCAACAGAGCTGCACAGCTCCATCCCTATCAGTACCATCACTGATCCATCAGAGTGGCTCCATTCTGACCCATCCGACATTTTTAGCGGATTTGGAATCCTCATTTGCATGAGTACAAACCAGTCAGGGACCAGAGATTTCTCTATATAAGTCAAGTTCCCTCCGGCTTGGAAAAGGCACTTTCCCTTTTCACTGAAGACTAGAGACTGCATTTCCCAGGCTGGAGCTGAAACACCTGACGAAGGTATTTTACTGGGCCCGGGCAGAGCGGGGCAGACAGGCTGAGAGCCACCTCAGAGATGTGCTGTTTTACAGCCAAGCTGTTTCATAAGTGAGCTATAACACTACTGAGCTATTCCATAGCCGTGCTGTTTCATAATGGAGCTGTTTTCAGTTTCTTTCTCCACTGCACCTCCCAAATTGGGGATTCCTGTGAGCACTGAGTTGGCACCAACAACCACTGGTTGGCAAGCCTAAGCTGAGGAGGCTCACCAAAGAACCCTTTTCTTCTCTCCTCTCGCCCTCCTCCCCCACCACAGTATCCCAGCTTCACACAGAGCTGCCCACCCTCATGGGGCCGGGTGGGGCTGGGACAAGGAGCACAGTAGTGACTGACATAGTTGAAGACAAGAAGGCCCCCTTCAGATATTCTGCTCCAACTTAGAACCCAACCATGACCTGAGGAGTAAGAGATGGCTGAGATTGGGTCTCTGCCAGCAGGATTCAAATGAGGCTCAAAGCAGAGTACATGTGAATTAGAGGAAAGAGAAAATGTGACATTTAAAGAGACAGAACTACAATCCATCCTTCACAACATCTTTCATATACACATGACAGCAACCACAACACTGCATCACTGACATCTGCTAAGTGATCCATCCACACCCAGACAATCACACACTGTCAAGGGAAGGCTCTCTCTGGGTCCCCAAAACACATCACGGTTTTGCGGAACACAGGCCTGCAAAGTTAGGCTGGAAGTAATTCAATTTGAAGTGAAATGTATGCACAGAAAAGTCTTAGTTTTTAAACACAGCATTATTTAATCCTCTTTTAAAGATGACAATACACCACTGTGTAAGGAGCCTGCTCCGCACCCTCGTGGCCTCTTCAGGGTGAACCAGGCCACAGCCGCTGGGACCGCAGGGGCCGGTGGGGCTCCCCGTGGGTTCCTGCAGGAGCCAGTCTGCAGGCTGGCCAGGAAAGAGTGCACTGCCTGCTGGCTTTCCTGTGGTGCCACTGGCAGCCCAGAGGCCCATGCTGCACCCCAGCCGTGGCGTCTGGCTGTGCTCACCACATCTCCGCAGGGGGACTCGTGCACCGTGACTCAGGCAGAGAGGGGTGCACAGGAGCCCACAGTCCAGGTGCTACCCCAGGCCCAGAGGTCATCTGGGACCTGCCCTTCCATCCCACACACTCGTGCGTTGATCGCCGGCCAGGCATAGGGACTACACCTGTGCACAAATTTCATGCACCAGGCCTCCAATATATAATAAACTAGCATAGATGCTTAAAGGTATTACTATAAGAACATTCACTTTAGTTACATTTATAGTCTCCTAAATTTGAAATAGCCTCAATATCCAAGAACTAAAGATTGGCTGAATAAATTATGTCAAGTCCATTATACATCTATGCAGGAGAAATATACAGCTCTTAAAATGGGGCTGTATAAGAACATTAAAAAACTTATTAGAACATATCCATAGTATATTAGATAAGAAAAGAAAGTTGTAAAATATTACTATATAATTTTTGCAGAAAAGATATACAAATGACTAGAGGCTATACAATATAGTGTTTGTACTAGGAGAATGGAATTGAATATAACATTTTTTTTCTTTTATAGATGGGAAGGTTCCAAGTTTCCCAAATTTTCCAAAGTGAGAATGTATTTTTATAATAATCAAAGCATACATGTGTTCCGGTTTTAAAAGATCCACCTGAGGCTGAGAGGCTGTCCTAGAGGACCTGGGCCATGCGTTAGCCACATTCTTTCTTTCTTTCTTTCTTTTTTTTCTTCTTCTTCTTCTTCTTCTTCTTTTTTTAAAATATATTTTATTGATTTTTTTTACAGAGAGGGAGAGAGAGAAAGAGTTAGAAACATCAATCAGCTGCCTCTTGCACAGTCCCCACTGGGGATGTGCCCACAACCAAGGTGCGTGTCCTTGACGGGAATCGAAGCCGGGACCTTTCAGTCCACAGGCTGACGCTCTATCCACTGAGCCAAACCGGTTTCAGCAGCCACATCCTTATTCCCTACAAAAGAGGGAGTGTGGTTAATAGGACACATGGAGGTGGGACTTGAGGTGGAAGGTAGATGTGAGGGCTCAATACAGTCCCAGGCTGCTCTGCGAAAATTGCATTTCACTGGATTTGCATAAGCCATGAGAAAACCCAAACCCCTTGTCCCTAAATTAATCAGCTTCTAGAATTTGGGCTTCCAAAAAGAGCAAGCAAGAAAGCAAGAAAGGAAAGTAGAAAGGAAAGGAGGGAGGGAGGGGAAGGAAGGGAGGAAGGAAAGAAGGGTGGGTTACAATGGCAGATATTTCTATAAGAACATACGAGAAGAGAAGAAGCAACCTGCACAGGTTTATAAAAAAGCATGTGTGATGCTTCCTGCATCTTAACAGAAATGAAATGTTGATTTAAAGCAGAGAATGGTTTTTTTATATTCTCCATGGGTCTCGGAATAATTTTATGAGGCATGGCATTTCAGAAATAGCACAAGATTTTAAAGTTTGCTTACTGATTATACCACACTGGTCTTGATCTAAATGGGATTTAAAGCTGCTCATAAACAAAAGTAAATACAAAAGATGAAGATAAAGACATTAAATATTAAGGTTATAATTTTTGTCCTAAGCTATGTACTTATTAAGTAATCTTGGCCAAATTACCTTTTTAAATTGCAGTTTGCTCATCACCCAAATGGGGATAATGATAATACTTATGTGGCAAAGTAATCTGTTGTAAAATTAAATCATGTCTAATTTTTGCCACTGTAGACCCATCAGAAAGAATTTCATTTCCTCCCAACCTAATGCAAGGAAGGGGCCTACAATCAGATTTAATTTGGCTTTAGAAACAAGGAGTCATGTGACCTTCTTACAACCAACAGCAGTGGAGAAAATTCAAACACTTTCTTCATATCCCTGGCATGAGAGTTAAATGAAACAATGGAAATCATATGCTATATTAATTGCCATGCAATTTTCAGAGGTTAATTACTGTTAGTAAAAATTCCATTGACTTGCCCAACCAGTGTTCCTCAGGAGTTGAGCATCAACCTATGAACGAGGAGGTCACTGTTCGATTCCCAAACAGGGCACATGCCTGGGTTGTGGGTTGCAGGCTCAATGTCCAGTAGGGGGCATGCAGGAGGTAGCTAATCAACGATTCTCTCTTATCATTGACGTTTCTATCTCTCTCTCTCCCTCTCCCTTCCTGTCTGAAATCAATAAAAACATTTAAAAAGATGTCATTCACTTCACACAATGCTATACAGCAAAATGATGCAGGAGACCTGGATTTTCATCCCAGCCCCACCTCTACCTAGCGGCTGAGCCATGTCTCCCTGCTCTGCAAAATGGGCACATACTGTGGGTCTTGCCCTACCTCACAGGGTTATTGAGAGGCCCAAGTGAGAAAATATATGTGCAAAGTCTGAGGAGAGTGTCAGACAAGGGTGATCTATAAACAAGCCACAACCAAAGTCGGTAAAAGGCTATGAGCTCTGAACACCAAACATGGATTAAAGCTGATTGATTAGGTGGTTTCATTAAAATAGTCTATATATTAAAAGCAAATAATATGCCCTAACCGGTTTGGCTCAGTGGATAGAGCATCAGCCTGGGGACTGAAAGGTCCCAGGTTTGATTCCGGTCAAGGGCATGTACCTGGGTTGCGGGTACATTCCCAGTAGGGGGTGTGCAGGAGGCAGCTGATCAATGATTCTCTCTCATTGATGTTTCTAACTATCTATCCCTCTTCCTTCCTCTCTGTAAAAAATCAATAAAATATATATTAAAAAAAATAATAATATTAGTAATCCAAATGTCCATCAATAGTAAAATGGATAAACAAAATTGTCATAAAAAGAATAGTCACAGCACAAAAAATGAATACATTTAGTATATACCACACATAACATTTATAGAAAGAAGCAAGACAAAAAAAAAACAAAAAAAAACAGAGACCGTGATTCATTCACCTCATGTTAAAAATAGACAAAATAAGTCAGTTTGCTCATAGAAACCTACATAAGTAGTAAAATTCTAACAAACAGTAAGGAAATAATTATCACAAAGTCAGATTTTTTTTTTTTTTTACTGTTTGGGAAAGAAAGGGGATGATAAAGATGTGAACAGACAAATAGGAGGGACTTTATGGCTTGAAGGCTATGTTAATTTTTGTGTGTGTATGTGCATATATATGTATATTTTATACATTTTTCTATATGTACATTATTTTTCACAATAAAAAACAATAACAACAAATCTACCAAATTCTGTATAAATTGCATATGTATATAAAAAAGCTTTCTTTTTCTAAAACTTTGCCAATCTCAGAAAATTACTCAGTTGAGACTTTAATCTCTTCGAAAAGAAAGTATAGTTACATTAGGCAGGCTAAGGTGACTCAAGTTGACTACTTGTGTACTTATTAATAATTTCTAACTGCTAAGATATTTTCAGGGTCAAATTAAAAATTCCAGTATTAACAATAAAAGAACTATTGGGCTCTAGTCACCACCAGAGCATATCTTACACCATCAGCCTAAAAGGAAATGCATGTTTACATCAATGACTTACCAGCTGGCTGTGTCTGTGCTATTCTCTTAGGATAAGTCTTGCTTCGGCTTCTTGCCACATTCTGGTCTGGCCGGGGAAGTTGAATAGAAAGATCTCGACTCATCTGCAATGCTGTCCTGCCACTTGAAAATGCAACATTTTTGATTAATACAAGTAAAACCACATAGTCACAAAATTAAACAATGGCTCATTCAGAATATCTGCAAAGTATTTCCAGAATATCTGGAAAGAAGAAAACACACTCACAGGAGCTGTAAACATACATGTGTTCCCAACTGAGTCACACTGCAATATTAACCAAGGAAGTAGTATTAAATTCCAATGGGAAACATGTAAGTTAGATGGAAGAAATATTTTTCGGGAGAAGAAACAGGAAACGGGGGGGGGGGGGGGTAATTAAAGGAGGACTAAGGTTTAGATTTAACAAAATGATGGGCTAGCAATAGAGAATTTTGATTGCCTTCCAATTGTACAACTAAACGTTGGGCTGAATTACATAAGGGCAATGACTCTATATGCATCAGCATCACCCTATGTTAGACTCACATGGCAAGTTGTACAGCACCCCCTCAGGACCACTGTGTGGTTTACTCTTCACCCTGCCATGGCACAATCAACCTTTTATTATGCTCGCCTCGCCTGCACTAGATCAGGTGCCCAGGAAGATTTAAAACAGCCTGAAACCCCACGCACAGGGCTGCTTTCCTGAAGTTTCTGTGAGGATTCAGGAGGTTGAGCTTTCTCTGGGGATCGATTAATCTCTGGGAAATGTGTAAAATCATTCGCTGGATTTCAGTGATCATTCATCCTACTAAAAATTCATCCCACGGCTGCTGAATTTGAGCCAATGAATGACCCTGGCTTTCATCTAAATATGTTAAGTGAAAATTTCACTTAGGTACAAGGAAAATATCATTAGGGACAAGGAAAAATGCATTTCTATTTATCTAGTTTAATTCATCTCAAGAAGGTCCAGAAAGCCTTTTAATGGCCCCAAATCCTACTTGTCGTACATTTACAGAACAAATATCTCCCAAATGAAACTTATAAAGCAAAATTTACCTCCTACATACTTCTGTGAAAGTTTTCCCTCCCCACTAACGCATCTACCTTTATTAGATTTTTTTTTTTAATGCTTAAAACAACCACAACAAGAAGCTTATCATCAGGCTAATTGGGGACACAACTTGATAAGAGCTACCATGAATGAAGATGCCAGAGTCCAATACTTCATGAGAACTGGGGTAGAGAGGGAAGCAAATTGTGGCAGGTTAATAAAACTATGGTCCAGAACCACACACGGATCTGCCACCGGCTCTATAGGACCCAGGACTAGAACAAGTTCCCTGACCTCCAGCTGGTCAGCATGGCACAGCCGGGCAGTGGGAGAACATTAAGCCATTGTTCTGCAATTGCAAGCATAGCTCTGTCTCAACTGAATGGTCTTAACAGGTTATTTTTTAAATCTCCCAGAGCTTTATTTTCAACATTGATAATATATGTCAAATTGTTCTTCCTATTTCCTAGCGGAAATATTGTGCAGAATTCTTACTATTTCCTTGTAGCAGACAGTATTTGATAAATGGTGGCAGAGATTTATTCCCATGATCACCTACTCCCTTCCTCCTCACACTCTGGCATGCACACTCCCATTCTATGCTGAGAGGCCCTGCAGCCCCTAAGGAAGGGGTAGAGGAAAGAGAACAAGAACAGAGACACCTGGGTTCAAATCCTAGCTTTGCCACTTACTGGTAAAGGCCTTTAGGTTCAGTTAGTTTATTTTGGGGTTTGAGACTCAAATTTCTCATCTGTATAAATGAAGAGATACCTCCTTTGCCAGGTCACTGAGCTCGTCCCATATTTATTTTATGGGATTAAATAAAGTGACACCTGTGCAAGCACCCGACACAAAGAAGGCTCTCGTGAGTATTTGTTCTCTTTCAGGCTTTAAGAAATGTGTAGCCCTGGCTGGTGTGGCTCAGTTGGTTGAGCATCATCCCATGCAACAAAAGGTTGCCGATTAGAGTCCCAGTCAGGGAACATGCCCAGGTTGTGGGTTTAATCCCAGGTTGGGATATGTGCTGGAGGAAAACCAATTAATGTATCTCTCTTTCACCTGCTTTCCTTCTCTCTTTCTCTTTCTTTAAAATCAATAAATACATACAAAAAAAAAAAAAAAAAAAAAAAAAGAAAGTAAGAAAAGAAAAAAAAGAAAAAAGAAACGAGGAAAGTTCATGAGATTTAAGTCCTATAAGAAGGTCATCTGGGTCCCCAGGGGTGTTTCTCAGGCCCAATTCTCATTCTTGGAATATACATAAATTCTACACAACTTATTCATCAAAACAAGGAGCCAAAACCTGTTTGGCTCAGTGGTAGAGCATCGGTCTGCAGACTGAAAGGTCCCAGGTTTGATTCTGGTCAGGGGCATGTACGTTGGTTGCGGGCACATCCCCCGTAGGGAGTGTGCAAGAGGCAGCTGGTCGATGTTTCTTTCTCATTGACATTTCTAGCTCTCTATCTCTCTCCCTTCCTCTCTGTAAAAAAACAAAACAAAAATAAACAAGGAGTCCCCTACTAACTTAACAACAGGTAAAAGGCAAAGTTAATTTCTAAGGGGCCCAGAGAAAGAAATAAAAGTGTGTAACAAAATATTTTAATCAAAGATTCGATCAAGTTCTGTTTCAGATTATTGGTCTCTGATAATGAAACAAAAGAATCAGATCGTTTGATTTCAGCTCAGATTTCCCCACAAAATCTGGAATTTTGATTGACTGTCACACATCACTAAAAATGTGTAATATTTCCCCCTTGCTAAGTAATGACTCATTTTTCTAAAAAAAATAAAATAAAATAAAATAAATTGAAATCTCATTGACATTCAGCAACCACGAGATGCAGGAAAGGGATCAAGACTAGAACTCTGTCTTCCTACACCACATACACCTACAGACGTATCACTGTAAATGTCTACACATAATTATGCACATAAATGCAGACACACCTGCATTCGCACCCTGCAGCACTTGCTATGCTTTTCTATCCCTCATGCCTGCCGGATAAAGGAAGGGGCTGTGCTTCCAGAGCACTGCTTTCATTCCACGAGGTCTACAGAACATCTCAAAAGAGAAGCAGGCATATGTTTGTTAAAGGCTGGGATTTTGCCTCCTTTGACAATTAACAATTCACATGCTGGCGACTACCCAGCAGTCCAAGACCCATCCCTGCCCATGACCGGCTCTGGGCAGTGGGATGAAACACATTTCTTCCAGGGATGGTGTAACAGTGCTTCCTGCAGACAGAGATGGAGATTTGGGTTTCATTAAAACTGACTAGGCAGTTAAGACCAGCCACCAAATTAGAACAGATTTAGCAGAGCTTCCAATTCTGCAAAGGTTACCTTTAATTACTTTCTTGGAAGAAATGATATTTAATATGCAAAATCCAATAATAATAATTCCCAGTAGCCACAACATTTGCATTTCAATAAATTTGAGAAATCAGGTATTAGTAGTAAATTTGTGGAAACTAACTACAGCATATATTAAGCAACATAATTGCAATTTTAATAATAGGAACACAGAGATAGAGTTACACATTTTCTCTATAACCCTTGACATGTTTTATGCTCCAAATGGAAAAACAGCCCAAATGGTGACTATTGGCTGTTCACCTCAACATAAGTAGGTACTCTTCCCTTAAATTCCTGATAATTGTATCACTGTCTGAGAAAGAACCTTGATAAGCAAAAGGTTCTATTTTTAGTTATCAGTGAATACCAAGTACCAAGAACATTTATAACTTAATTACTTAGGTTTTATAGGTCGTCATCAACTGGGCCTGCATTAGAAGGCAGTTGGGGGGAACCAGGCCTGAAGTGGAGGGCAGTTGGGGGAAGCCAGGCCAGAAAGGGAGGGCAGTTAGGGGGAAGGGGAACAGGCCTGCAGTAGAGGATAGTTGGGGGGGTAACAGGCCTGCAGGGGAGAACAGTTGTGGAAGATCAGGCCACCAGGGAAGGCAGTTAGGGATAACTTGGATAGCAGAGGAGGGCAGTTGGGGGAGACCAGGCCAGCAGGGGAGGGCAGTTGAGAGGACCAGGACAGCAGGAGAGGGCAATTGGGGGGATCAGGCCTGCAGGGGAGAGCAGTTGTGGGGGTGGATCAGGCCTGCAGGGGAGGGCAGTTGTGGGGGTGGACCAGGCCTGCAGGGGAGGGCAGTTAGGAGCAATCGGGCCTGCCAGGGAGCAGTTAGGTGTCGATCAGGCTGGCAGGGGAGTGGTTAGGAGGTGATCAGGCTGGCAGGCAGAAGCAGTTAGGGGGTAATCAGGCAGAGGCAGGTGAGCAGTTGGGAACCAGCAGTCCTGGATTGTGAAAGGGCAGTCGGACATCCCTCAAAGGGTCCCAGATTGGAGAGTGTGTAGGCTGGACTGAGGAACACTCCCTCTCCCCACCCCCACCCCCTGCCATGCATGAATTTCATGCTCCGGGCCTCTAGTTAAATATAATTAAGCCTGGAAAATAATTTTTGTCAAAAAAGTTTTAATGAACTATTATGCTAATAAATTTCATTGGCACTGTACAAAAATTTAAAAAAAATTTAACGTGCATGTATGTGAACAGCTGAATTAAATATTTATGTATTTACATACACACACCCCAAGAAAAAAAAATGACATTTACCTATACCGGTGCTTATAACTCATGGATCCAAACTTGCTGAGTTTTCTTGACAATGAATTTGATTCATTCTCCGGCATTCTAATGAATTTTTAAAATAAAATTAAATTAAGACTCAGAAATACTTTTGCAACAGTTGAGCAAAAGCTACATAGAAAATATAATCATGCAGCACTTTAACAGCTAGTCAAAATATCTTATTTGTTCTACACATTTGCAAGAAATAATCATCAGTTATTACAAGCTAACTGTTGAAACACAAACACACTCTAGGAATTTATATATTTATATAATGTTGAAATACTCATACTTTCGGAAGACATCATTGCCCTCAGACGCTTTAGTTGTGAATCAAATTACTTTTTCTGCTTAAATGATCTTGGGAACTTTGTCACTAGGTTGATTTACCCAAGTCAAGGTCCTCACAGCAGTTAATTAATCGTATCTGAGGAGTGGTTCAGTCTCCCTTGTACTATAGTCCAGCACTTCCCACTCCAGGGTACTTTCAACAGACACCTCCATGGGGAGCTGTTCGACCTAGCCCCCTGACCGAGAGGTAATGTCTCATGCTTTCTAGGAAACATCCCTGCCATAATACAAGCTCAATGAAGGACACTGGTCATTTTGTAAGAATATGCCTCCAATATCATGCTATTTGGGGAAATAGTTCCATGCAAATCAAATAGGAATAAGGGGAAGAATAAATCCAGTTTTAAATTTAAAAACAAATATAACTGAATGTATTACCTGATTAAATTTAGTGTTATCTTTACACCATAAAGATGTGAAATAACGAAAAGTATCCCAAAGTCCAACAGTCAATTCTCCATCCCTACTAAATCTTCCAGGAGCACAGCATGCAACAGAGTAGCCAGCTCCATCCCTATTCAACATGACATTTTCCTCCCTCATCTTCCATTTCCTTACACACTTTCCAGGTTACTCCTTCTCATAACCCATGGCTGGCTCTTCCAGGCCTCTCAATGCTGGCAGGGTCCCACAGCCCAGTCCTTGGCTTCCTGCTTCTGTCTCTTCACTTTTCTCAGAGGTGACCTCATCCAGTCAGCTTTGCTTAAAATACTAAATCTTCATGGCCAACCTAGGTCTTTCCAGTAAGCTTTATACTTCCAACGTCTCCATTTAGATGACTAACAGGCATTTCAAATTTAGTATGTCCATAGCAGAACACTTACTTTCCATGAATACCAAAGCTGTACTTTTTACACAAACAAACAAACAAAAATTGTCCTTGGCTTTTTCTTATAATGTGAGCAAAGAAGATAACTATGTGTGCATGTATGTGTGTATGCATGTCTGTATATATATCTATATCTATATCTATATCTATCTATCTATCTATCTATCTATATATATATATATTTCTATTAATGTGATCAAGAGAATTAGGTAACTGAATAAATTAAATTTCTACTTGTAGATAGAACAGAATTCTTGTTATAAAAACAAATGCAATTTTCATTAGAGAATCAACAAAACTTCCACATTAACATACCTAAAAAATGTATGATGTTCTACACTACACTTCCAAAGATGCTTGCTTGTAGATAGAACAGAATTCTTGTTATAAAAACAAATGCAATTTTCATTAGAGAATCAACAAAACTTCCACATTAACATACCTAAAAAATGTATGATGTTCTACACTACACTTCCAAAGATGCTTGCAAGCAGTTTTACTCCGAGCTTCAAAAAAGAATGAAGTTTCATTGCACTGAGAGAGAAACAAAGAGAGAGACCGTGAATCACTGACCATACATTCTTCAAGTGACAGCCACAGGTAACAAAAATTCAAGTCAACAGTCAAATTATTGTTAACACAAAAAACAAAGAATGATTATCTCTCTGTAACTATTTTTGGAGGGTTGCTTTAAATCTCAATTAATTAAAATTACAAAATATAAGTCCATGTAAACCTTAGTGCCATCACCTAGTTCTACGAATATATCACCCATGACCATGGATAATCGGGGTGATGGCACTGAAGTACCATAAACTTGTCGATCCCAAATGGGCACCAAAAACAGGAAAAACACTGACCCTAGGCAAATCAACTCCCAATAAAAAAGATGCTCACAAGTCCATTCTTAACTGTATTTATTTTTTTTAATGACTGAATAGGAAATCAAGCAAAATACAGCAACATAAGTAGCAAAATAATAAACCATAAACTCTGTGAAGTTATATAATTGCCAACTTAGTTTTAAATAAAAACCAAGCTCATGTCTCAAATGCAGAAATGCCCCTGGAATGGATTCAAACAAAATCCTCAATGTGGAGAAATAATTAAAATGGCCCCCACTACTTTTAATAAGGACAGAACATTCATATGCATAACATTTCTCCCAAGTCCATCTGGAATGAGGCTCAACTTAGAGTTTATTTGAAAAAGTGAAAGGGTGTGATAAAAAAAAAAACAACAAAAACCAGAGCTAATATTTGCATGTTACAGCAAGACAACCTGGAACTCCAAATCCTTGTGAGATGGAGGGACAATTTAGGACAATTCCCAGGTTTCTGGCTTGGATGCTCTAAGTACTAAAATACAGCAAGTGGGGAAAATGGGAATCTGGGTGATGATGGAATGGACAAGAAGTTCAGGCTATTTTGATTTTGAGGTGCCCATGGAATTGAGAACTAAACATGCCTCGCGGGCCAGTGAACATACAGGCATAGAGCTGAGGAGTAAGGCCGCATCTGCTGACATAGATGATTGCACCAAAGCGTTTAAAAAAAAAAAAAAAAAACCCTGCTCAGAACAACGGTACAGAGTGAATAAAGGTGGAGTCACAGCAGAGATGAGAGAGGTCAAAATGGACCAGGAGGCAATGGCCAGGGAGGCTGGGAGAAGAGAGCAAGTCCATGACCCAGAAAGGTCAAACAGGGTTTCAGAGGAAGTTACTGCATTTCACGGTAAGAAATCTTCAGTGACATTCATAAAAAGGGTAGGGAGCACAAAATTAGAGACAAGGCAGAAGAGTCAATGAATTCAGAAAGCGTTTTTCTCAAAGGTAAAAGAAACTGGGGGGAAGGATGGGAAAGGGTTTTCAGAGGAAATCACAGAAGATCTGAGGAGGGCGGGGTGGGAAGCCAAGCATCCTGCCAGGAGATGGGTTTCTTAGAGGGCCTTTTTTTTTTTTTTTATCCTTTTCCTTTTCTTTTTTAAAATATAGAATATAAATACTCATGGTATGAATGCCAAAGGTTCCCAAAGCAGATACACAATGATAACAAAATCTCTCTCCTATCACTGGCCCCAATTCCCCTCCCAAGAGGCAACGACTATTAAGACTTTCTTATATAACAGGTGGGTGTTTTTGAGGTCACTGGATTATCCAAAAATACAATGTACAAGGCGTGTATTTTAAAAAATAATTGCACTGTTACCAGATTACATGATTCAGATAAGGCGAGTACAGGACAAATGCGCCCCCCCACCCCCATCCCACCTCCTCAGTATCTGCACCCCCTTGTCCCAGGGCCTTTCAATAACTGGCAGGACTGACTGAGCACCACCAGCGGCAAGAAGTGGTGGTGGGAGTGACTGCTGTGTGACACAGCACTGTACCCTGTCTGCAAGGGCAGCCACAAACGAGGAGGTGCTTATGTACCTGTATCAAATGTCCAAAAAGTTAATTACATCTAATCCAGATTTCCAAAAGTGAAGGAGAAACCAAAGAGCATTCCATCTTAAAAACAAAGCAAATCTCCTCACATTTTTCATGGACTGATTTTCACTTCATTCTTCACAGAAACGTTTGTATTCCCCTGCTTTTCAAATAGACACCTGGTCATAGGATAGCTAATTTTTAATGTGTTTTTAAAACTACCATTACTTCATGAAAGGATAAAAGGTATTAAAGATCCAGCCAGAATTGGATTTTCTCAAGTTTTCTTCGGTACAAATATGCGAAAGGCACAAAAGAGCCTCCCACAGGCCTCCTAATTGCTGCTGCCATGTACAAATGACAAGTATAAACTCATCCTCCACTTACATAGGGCTTTCACACCTGCCTGCCCTTTATCCCATTGTAATCCAAATACTACAAGGGTGGTAAATAACAAAAAAGAGAGCCAGGCTGAATAAATCCTGTGTATTTTTGCCACTTACAGCAACTGCTGGTATGAACCTAACTTATGGAACATTGCAAACATCCCTTTCTTCCTACTGCTCCCCCACCTACAAACCTTTCCCAGAGACAACTAGCACCTCCCCATTCATTCATACAAAGATGATGAGCTGCTTAACTAGTTCATTCCAACCGACTGCTAAAATACTTTATACCCAAGCTTGCAATGGTTGTTTTTGACAAAATCAGTCAAACACCTTCATAGCTTTTGTCACTTTACACCAGAAGCAAAACTATGGTCTGAAATCTACTTTTCTTTTTATTGTATGAACTGCCCAAGCTTAAATCACCTGTGACTCAGATATCATGTGGGGCTTCACCGTGCTATGGATCTCTAGGTAAACTTGGCTCAAACCCCCAATTCTGTCATGTGTTAAGAATTCAGGACCTGCATTCCATCAATGAGTTCCAACCTAATTATCTCTGTTCTTCTCAGTCTCTTTTCTCATCTTTGCTGGCTATGTTTCTCTTTGCAATCTTGAAAAAAATAAATCTACAGTACTTAAGCCTGGCTTCTGCTAAGTGCATTGAGATTACTGATAGGGTTGTGGAGGGGCTCACACTGCAAGCTGCACAGCCACCTGCACTCCCGGGGCAGGACCAAGCTCCGCGGCCTCTCCCTACCCCAACCCTCCTTGCCACGCACAGCCCACACTCCAGCCAGCTCTTCTGTTCTTAGGAAGCAGCACAACTGGACAGTCTGCCTCCCCCAGCCTTTTAGAATTATGGAGATAAACAATCCTCAATCCTCAATAATTCTCAAATTGCTATATATTTGCCTACCTCCAAGGTCACTAGAAGTAACCTCAGGTGCAGTGCATATGTCAGATACCTAGGAGTAAACTACATTAGTGCTGCTAACAAGAGTAAGATGCAGTTGTTACATACATACTTTCAAGGCCCACAGCAAAGGGGCTGCATCAGTGAATCCTAGAGGCAAGAGGCTAAGGAGAAATGTGAGGATTACTAGGCTCAAGTATTGTGGGATTCTTTTTGCTGTTAATCTTCACATGAGGATATTTTTTCCATTGATTTTTTTTTATTTTTTTATTTTTTATTTTTTTTTAAATATTATTTATTGATTTTGAATAGCGAGGAAGGGAGAGAGATAGAGAGTTAGAAACATCGATGCGAGAGAGTCATCGATCAGCTGCCTCCTACACACCCCCCACTGGGGGTATGCCCGCAACCAAGGTACATGCCCTCGACCGGAATCGAACCCGGGACCCTTCAGTCCCCAAGCTGACGCTCTATCCATTGAGCCAAACCGGTTTCGGCTGATTTTTTTTTTTTTTTTAATTTAGAGAGAGTGCAAGGAGGGGGAAGGAAGGAAGGAGAGAGAGAGAGAGAGAGAGAGAGAGAGAGAGAGAGAGAGAGAGAGAGAGAGGAGATTACAAAATGAGAGAGAGATTACAAAACATCAATCGGTTGCCTTTCTCACATGCCCTGACCCGGTTGGAGATCAAGCCTACAACTCAGGTGGGTGCTCTTGACCAGGTATTGAACCCTCGACCCTTTGTTCTTCGGGCTGATGCTCTAACCATTAAACAAAACAGGCCACGGCAGATTCTTTCTTTTTTTATTTTTTTTAAATTTATTTTTATTAATTTCAGAGAGGAAGGGAGAGGAAGAGACAGTATGGCCTTGATAGTATGTATGTAGCATCTGCATCTTACTGTTATTAGCAGCACTAACATAGTTTACTCCTCGGTATCTGACCTATGCATATCATTGATCATCAGCTGAGAATCATTGATCAGCTGCCTCCTACATGCCCCCTACTGGGGTTCAAGCCCTTGACCAGAATCAAATCTGGGACCTTTCAGTCTGCAGGCTGATGATGCTCTATCTACTGAGCCAAACCAACTAGGGCCAGATTCTTTTTTTTAAATATTCAAGATCCACAAGATTTATATGTACTTGACAATTGTTAATTTATTTTAGGGACTGGAGGGAAAAAACAAAACCATCAGAGGGCTGATGGCAAATGACTGAAATGACTACTAATAAAGCAAAGGAAGGCAACGGTGGAAGTGAAATGATTATTTTATTCTTTAACTGAAAGTAGACACCAAAAAGTTACCACGAAATTTTAAGTGTTTTGAGAAATTGTATCTTTAAAAATGGTGAAGTTGAATAGCCGCATTAAAAAATTGAATTATTTGTGCATGAGAGAACACAATAGTTCCCACTGCTCTCTCTTCTAGGCATCCCAACCCAGAGCAAGAATTCAGAGTAAGCCCTGCAACAAAAATAAAAAGTACCAATCTTGTTATTATTTGGAATGAGATGTTAGAAGGGAATTTTAAAGCACTGAGTAAAATAATATCTTACTCAACTTTTTCCTTTACATTGTGCTCCCTAACGAGTGTTTCTTACAACATTAGTATCTTGTAATATTGGCGAAAGAAGGAAGGAAGGAAGGAAGGAAGGAAGGAAGGAGGAAGGAGGAGGGAGGGAGGGAGGGAGGGAGGGAGGGAGGGAGGAAGGGAGGAAGAAGGGAGGGAGGAAGAAGGGAGGAAGGGAGGGAAAGAAGGGAGGAAGGGAGGAAAGAAGGGAGGAAGGGAGGAAAGAAGGGAGGAAG